ATTGTGAACATTTTTTACCATTCACTTAAATTTTAATGGCCACATAATATTCCCTCACAGGGTAATATTTTAGTAATTTACTGAATCATCCCCTGTTGATGGATATTTAGTTTTTCAATTTTTCAATAGACATGACTGTTGTAGCTATCTATGTAAATATATCTTTGCTTACATCCATGACTATTTCATTAGGATAGCTTCCTAGAAACTCTTTGGTACATAGAGTATTCAAAAGCCTTAAATTTTGCAGGTTATTGCTAAATTATACATGGCCATAACTCACATTACTTTTGCAGTATAGCTGATACCCAGGGAGCTGCATATGAGTTGTATGTGAGATCTCCACACTGTGGTGCTCCTCTCCCCAAATTTGTTAGCTGTGATTCTCCTTATGGTGTAAAGTACCTCGTAAATAATCAATATAGCAGTAACCTCTCTTACTCCGGACACTAGATTTAAAATTTAGAATTGGAAAGAACTTGTGAAATATGAGTTAAGAATATTAGCTCATTAACTCAGGTTTCATTTTAAAAACCATTGATAGATCCAAATTTATTGATTTTCCAATTTATTCATAATGTGATGGAACAGATAAAAGTATATATTAACCGTGAAGATCATAATTCCTGGCCCTTAAGCATTTAAAAAAATTTTAATAGACTTTGTTTTGGGGGTAGTTTTAGGTTTACAGAAAATTTTAAGCATTTTATATTAAAAAGGAAAATTGGGACATAAGTAAGATGTATCTTTTTGAAGTGAAAGTATTATTATTTTTCCTTTTACTCTTTTAGAAGGCAACATTATAATTGGTTAACATTTGAAACTGCTTCCAACAAGGATTGTTCATTTCACAGCAGCCTCAAACATAAGCATATTCTCATTTGCTTTTGAAACTTGGATGGGGAATACATGTAAATCCATGGCTAATTCATTTCAATGTATGACAAAAACCACTGCAATGTTGTAAAGTAATTAGCCTCCAACTAATAAAAATAAATGGAAAAAAAAATTAAGAAAAAAAAAAGTCATGGTAAAGCTAAACAAAACTAGGTGACAGAGCAGAAAAAGATGTATTTATTCTATTATTTCTTTCTTTCCTCCCGTTCTGTCTCCTCTCTCCTTCTCTTATTTCATTGGAATTAAATATTCATGAGAATTTTTTGGGAATTTGCTTAGTGGAGATCTTAAACGTACTGGATACCAGAGAATTTTTTTATTCCCACAGTGGCATTTGTATTTCTGATGAAATGAACATGATAGTCAACTTGGAACTCTCATTTGTGTTTAATACAATTCCTTGTTGCATATTTGCACTACCTTTTAATTAAATAATACCCAACAGCAATTCACTTTTTTCTTACTTCAAGCACTATCTTGCTAAATGCTCGGTATACAGTAGATACTTAGTAAATGCTTGATTAATTCATTAACTGGAAAAGTAGCTATTACTAGGTTGAAGATTCTCATTATGGGATCTTCCTTTCTGTGAAAATTAGTCACAAAATACTCTTTGTTGGTACCAGAAGGATCACATTTAATGTAATCAAAGAAAGTGCATAGCTTAAAATCTTTTTAACTGATATTCTAGGTTTCAACAGCAACTATTAACCCCGTAGTAATTTTTCAGCAGTTACTATGTACTTTAAGAAATCTACTTGTGCTACTACTTACATTTTCTCAACTGTTCTGTGTTCTCAAATAGTTTTTAAAAAGAAATCTGGCAGAGCATGCCAGCAAAAAGAATAACCTCGCCAGATTCTAACCAAATCATCAAATAGGAGCTGTGTTTCTTTAGGACCTCACAGGTCCCCTTTTAATAGGCCCTTTCCTCTGTTATTCTACTTCCAGAATACTAAGACCACTAGTATTAGCCAAGAACATTTTTCTCTGTTAAATCCTTGTCAACTAACACTTCAGAGGAAGAGTTTAAGGCATTACAGTTTTCAAGAGTAATTGCATTTTATTAGGGGAATCTTTAAAAAGAAAAAAACCCTTTATAACTCAAAGTAGCAATGTATAATGGAGGGGATTTTAGGTGATGACCTATGAGTGCCATTTGGAAAGTTCTTTTTAAGGTGTATATTTTAAAAAGTACTTTCTTTTCACAGCTTATCACACTGGATAAGCTGATGCCAAGTTAATTGAACCTATCTCTCCCCTCTCTGAATTAAGGCTTCTTGCTATAATCTGCCTTCTGGCTTTATTATTTTCTTTAAATCTGTGGTGATCCAAAGGCTAAATCCAATCAGTACTATTTAGCAACCATCCAAGTTGACAACTCCTTACTAATGACTTTCCCATTTGAAACTGTCTTTCCTTGGTTTCAGTATACTATTCTCTTGGTTCCCTTTCCGCCTCTCCCAATATTTTTTTTCCGTTTTCATGAGCTTTTCTCCTCTTCTCACACAGTAATATTGATACTTATATATATAAGCAGGCTTCCCAGATGGTGCTAGTCGTAAAGCCAATGCAGGAGCAGTAGGAGATGCAGGTTCTATCCCTGGGTTGGGAAGATCCCCTGGAGGAAGGCATGGTAAACCACTCCAGTATTCTTGCCTGGAGAATCCTATGAACAGAGGAGTCTGTCCTGTAGGAGCCTGTTACAGTCCACGGGGTCACAAAGAGCTGGACCCAGCTGAAGCAACTTAACATGAATGCATGTATAAGCAAGCCTCCATTCTATTAATCATAGAACTTCTCCTTTTTATTTCCTTCACTGTAGCTATTATCTCAATGCCTAGCACTCCATGCCAGTTCATCATCTCTCTAGAGTGTCCTTCTGGACACTGCAATTGGATCTTCTTATGATGTAAATGAAACAAGCCCAACATCAAGCTTGTTATCTCCTACTTGAGTCTTGTATTTTCTATCTCACTTAGTGACATCACCATTTATTCAACAACCTTCTTCCAGATAACTCATATTTATCCTTGGAACTCTAACTTCCACATCCAGTTGATCAGATATTATTGGGGTTCTCCTAAAATTAATTAAACCACTTCTCTAAATCCTCAGTTCTAATCTTTTAGTTTAAATGTTCACCTCCTCTAACCTATCTTACTGTAAACACATACTAAACATAGGCAAAGTGCCTCAATTATTCTCTTTCAACAAAGATGCTTTTGTCACTGCTGCCAGATATGATTATTTCCTTATTCATTTAAAATTATGTTGGCTTCCTATGCTTATGAGATAGAGCAGGTTTTTCACTCATTTATTCTTTCAATTAACATAGTGAACTTATGCCGTGAGGCTGACACTGAATAAATATTGGTGAACAAAGTATAATATCCTCTATATTTTTCTCAGTAATCCAATTCCAGTAGATTGGATTCTATGTTCATTGGATTCTGTAGTTCATTCTATGAACTATTTTTTTTTCTTCCCTAATACACTCTACTTCCCAGCCTACATCTCCCACTGACTCATTCACTGAAAGGTATTCTGTACTCCAGCTATTCAGATATATTCTACATCCTGCTAAGGTATCATGCTATAACATCCTGGTGTCTTCTGCGTCTTTGGGGACAATTCTCCGTGAATCACTTACAAAGGCACTTACTCACTGCCTTTGTTCTGGATTATCTTCTCCAGAATGTTTGTATGGTATGCAGTCTTGGGATACTGGGTAGTGTCTTCCTCAGGAGCAAAAGGCCAGCATGTTTATTGCTTTACAAAAAAAAAAAAAAAAGATTGGTTCCCTAAGCTCAGAGTTTCTGCCCTGTAATGCAGCCCACTGTATGTGCAAGTGTCACCTGGCCCTTGTTGTGTCCCCTGTAGTAACTAGGATCTGGGAACTGGGATAAGAAAGTGCTAACAGCTGGCTACAATGATAACTGTTAGTAATAAAAAATTTTCTGCTTGATTAAAGATTTTCATGTTTTTGTCAACCTCTGTGAAACTTTTGCAAGATAATTTGTTGGTTTGATAATAGGGTAAAATCTCAACACTTCACAATTCTTGACAAAATTCATCTTTCAAGTTCTGGCTTAAACATTTCCTCTTTAATGAAAATTTTACTGATTCTTCCAGGAAAGCATTTTTGCAGACCTGTGATTTTCCAGAGCATTGCCCTTTATAGTAATTGACATACTATTTAGAATCAGATATTAAGTCCCAGTTACTTGGTAGCATTTATGGAATACACATTAAGATATGCAATAAATACTGATAAATCAATGAATATAATTTTCTTTTCTTGATTTTATCCTAGTCAGCCTCATTTTCTTTCCATATCTGAGGTATTGAGGAACATATTTAAATTTTCCTTTGAAAGCAACATCCTGCTACTGTCATTTTATAACCACTGGAAAAGGTGATTTCTTCTATACCCTCTAGCCCAGTTAGAAATTTCTCCACCATAGAAATGTAGGCTTGTTTGAACTGCTTCTCTGGTTGTGGTATAAGGTCAAATTCCCAAGAATACAGAAAATACCTTGTTACTGGACATTCTTGGTTCCAATATTTTATATAAAAGTGGTTTTATCTTACTGTATATTTCCTTCTTCCTAAATGAAAGTGTCTTATTAAAATGTTTGCATTTTTCTGTTTAACCTTAAGATGTTATAAAATCACAACTTGACATTAACTGAGAGTGTTGACTTTTATTTGTGATCTGGGGCATCACATTATGATCAGGATGTTTAGCTAATACTGTTAATAACTGTTAGCTGAATTTTCTGCTATCCAGTCTTCTATTATTCGGGTCACATTTTCTATCGTACTAGTTATTACCTAATTATCTTTTAGAACTGGCCATAAAAAGAGTCAAAACCATATGTAAGAGGATGGTAGGGAGGGCAATAGATAGAAACAATCTTGAGTATTAGTCAAGATAGTACAAATGTATGCTTCATAGCCCACAAACTACCAAAACCACCAAATTTCACTGGCTTGACTGAATAGGTCCAGATGACTTTCCAGGAAAACATATTTTCCTTACAGGAACTTGACGGTTGAACCTTAAATGTGGATGCTCTTTTTTCTCCTCATTTCTATAGAATTCCTCAACAAGGGAAGAGTGAATGGAGAGTTCATAACTTCTTCAAATGCCATTGACAAGAGGTAATCACATGACCCCAGAAACTACAAAGGCAGAGAATAGTGGTAGTCATTACTAATGAGAACAAAAATAAATTTATCTAAATTTAGAAGGAAAGGATTTAATCATGTGAAAGTACACCAGGTTTGAGAGGAAATGAATGCTTATTAGGTACCTACTTTAGAAGCTCCCTCCCCCCCCCCTTTTTTTTTAGTTTATGACATTTTCAGATTTCCTGAAGTAAATAGCTCTACTGTTGATTGAGTAGTTAGGTACAGACAGCTTAAAATGTATTTATATACTAACAACTTAGTAGTTTTTTTGAGAAAAAATAATACACATAGTTGAAAGGAAAAAAATTTATTTTAGTCACCCACATTTACTTGTTAAGATGTGGGCCTCTTGGGCACTCTGCATATCTCAGACATTGGAATAAGATTGGATACCATTAGTTTCATTTCCTGCTCTACACTGATTTTAATGCTTATTTACTTTTTGTCCAACAAATAACAAACTCAACTTCACGAAGATATAATGTCACTGAAAGGAAGGTAGTATGATCTAATATTGAAGCTACCTTGAGCTGGTAGTTCATGCAGTAGCTGAGAGATTTCAAATATTGTTGCGGTTCCCTTGAAAATTTAAAATAGCCCATGCTGCCTCTAAAGAATGTGCTGTAGTCCCTGAAGTGACTCAGTGTACAGTTTGGGAACCATGGGTCTGCTGTTCTAGGTATTATAGATAGATCATTTACTTCTCACTATAGTTTGGAAGGTAGGTGCTATTGTTCCCAAGTTGGATGGGAAAACTAAGGTATGAAAAGGACATGAATCTAACCCAGATCTCTTACTTAGTAATTAGCATAGCAGGGGCTTGAACCCAAGCCTTCTGGCTCTAAATCCCATTGCGTCATGCCATGTGTCATGAAATTTACAGGATTAAGGTTTTCACAGCTTCCTCTCCCTATGACCTTTCCTGGGTTTCAAGCAACATTGAAATGACTATGTTTTAAACATGTGGAAGTGCTTGAAGCTCATGGAAGTGATTTTAACTCTTCAGTTTTAGTTTTAAGGCACACCTGCTAGAAAACAAATTTTCTTGAGCAGAGATTAAAGAACTTTAAAATGGCTTTAAAATGGCCCAAGGAAGAGTGTTTAAGTTTTGAAATCAAAACAGTATATTTCTAATAAGCTAGTAATTATTTATTGCTAATTTTTAATATGACATTTAGTATAGAGCACGTATCATGTGTTGTTGTTTTTTTTTTTTTACCAACTGTCAGGACAGTCGTTGAACTAAACTTTCTTTACCAGCTGTTGCCTAATTCAGTATGGTCCATTTTGAAATTATTCCAACTCTGCTTGCACATAATTTCCAAATCTCAACAGACCTATGCAAAAATGGACCACAGCTATAATCTTTCATGTTACTCATAGTTCTATTTAATTATCTGAAATACTACCTGATAAATAGTGCAATCAGAAGAATTCCAGTTTAACAGTAACTACTTCCACATCACTTTTCTGCTGTCATCTAATTTGAAACAGGTTTTGGATTACAACATCTAAATTATGTAAACTCCTAATCAAAGATTAATTTATGAATCTTCAGGCCCCTGCCTTTTTTCTTTTTTTAGGTGGTTTGTATATGTGCTAAGTCACTTCAGTCATGTCTGACTCCTTGTGACCCTATGGACTGTAGCCCACCAGGCTCCTTCCTCTGTCCATGGGATTCTTCAGACAAGAATACTAGAGTGGGATGCCATGTCTTCCTCCAGGGGATCTTCCCAGTCCAAGGATCGAAATCCTCATCTGTTACATCTCCTGCCTTGGCAGGTGGGTTAAGTGTCAATAAATTCAGGCCTAGTCAAATGAAGTTTCTTTCTTTCCTAGACCTTTTAGATCTTTATTTTTACTGAGTTTGTTGAGGAGACAAAAGCTTTTAGAACCAAAGAAGAGTAAATTCGTACAATAGAAAACTGTATTCAAAGAAAATGTCTATTCGCATGAATTAAAAGAACATTTGTATTAAATGCCTCTGGCACAGATTACAGTTCAGAGAATTATCTAAAGTTAGGTGTAAAAAATGTTTTTCATTTGAAACCAAATTTATCAATGAATAGAAAGAGAATGACATTTATCTCGGACTCTGTAAATGCCAGACATTCTCATTTATTATTTTGTTTGAACCTGAACACAACAATGGGAGGTCATTGTTATACCTTCATTTTGCAGGTGAGGAAACTGGAAGCTGAGTGTGTGAGGAAATCTCCTGAGTTTACAAGTGAATATTATGTAAAGCCATCATAGTAAAAAAGAGAGACCGAAATGCAGTACGTTGGTGCAGTCTCAAAAATGGCAGAATGATCTCTGTTCGTTTCCAAGGCAAACCATTCAGTATCACAGTAATACAAGTCTATGCCCCGACCAGTTATGTTGAAGAAGCTGAAGTTGAACAGTTCTATGAAGACCTATAAGACCTTCTAGAACTAACACCCAAAACAGATGTCCCTTTCATTATGAGGGACTGGAATGCAAAAGTAGGAAGTCAAGAAACACCTGGAGTAACAGGCAAATTTGGCCTTGGAGTACAGAATGAAGCTAACAGGGCGAAGATTAACAGAGTTTTGACAAGAGAACAACTGGTCATACCAAACATCCTCTTCCAACAACACAAGAAAATACTCTATATATGGACATCACCAGATAGTCAATGCCAAAATCAGATTGATTATATTCTTTGCAGCCAAAGATGGAAAAGCTGTATACAGTAGGCAAAAACAAAACTGAGAGCTGACTGTGGCTCAGATCATGAACTCCTTATTGTCAAATTAAGACTTAAATTGAAGAAAGTAGAGAAAACTACTAGACCATTCAGGTATGACCTAAATCAAATCCCTTATGATTATACAGTGGAGGTGAGAAATGGATTCAAGGGATTAGATCTGATAGACAGAGAGCCTGAAAAGCTATGGATGGAGGCTTGTGACCTTGCACAGGAGACAGGAATCAAGACCATCCCTATGGAAAAGATATGCAAAAAGGCAAAATGGTTGTCTGAGGAGGCCTTACACATAGCTGTGAAAAGAAGAGATGAGAAAGGCAAAGGAGAAAAGGAAAGATATTCCCATTTGAATGCAGAGTTCCAAAGAATAGCAAGGAGAGATAAGAAAGCATTCCTCAGTGATCAATGTAAAAAATATAGGAAAACAATAGAATGGGAAAGCCTAGAGATCTCTTAAAGAAAGAGATACCAAGGGAAATTTTTCATGCAAAGATGGGCACAATAAAGACAGAAATGATATGGACCTGACAGAAGCAGATGCTATTAAGAAGAGGTGGCAAGAATACACAGACAAACTACACAAAAACAATCTTCATGACCCAGATAATCATGATGGTATGATCACTCACCTAGAGCCAGACATCATGGAATGCAAAGTCAAGTGGTCCTTAAGAAGCATCACTACGTGCTCAACATCACTCATTATCAGAGAAATGCAAATCAAAACCACAATGAGGTACCATTACACGCCAGTCAGGATGGCTGCTATCCAAAAGTCTACAAGCAATAAATGCTGGAGAGGGTGTGGAGAAAAGGGAACCCTCTTACACTGTTGGTGGGAATGCAAATTAGTACAGCCACTATGGAAAACAGTGTGGAGATTTCTTAAAAAGCTGGAAATAGAACTGCCATATGACCCAGCAATCCCACTTCTGGGCATACACACCGAGGAAACCAGATCTGAAAGAGACACGTGCACCCCAATGTTCATCGCAGCACTGTTTATAATAGCCAGGACATGGAAGCAACCTAGATGCCCATCAGCAGACGAATGGATAAGGAAGCTGTGGTACATATACACCATGGAATATTATGCAGCTGTTAAAAAGAATTCACTTGAATCAGTTCTAATGAGATGGATGAAACTGGAGCCCATCATACAGAGTGAAGTAAGCCAGAAAGATAAAGAACAGTACAGCATACTAACACATATATATGGAATTTAGAAAGATGGTAATGATAACCCTATATGCAAAACAGAAAAAGAGACACAGATGTACAGAACAGACTTTTGGACTCTGTGGGAGAGGGCGAGGGTGGGATGTTTCGAGAGAACGGCATCGAAACATGTATATTATCTAGGGTGAAATAGATAACCAGCCCAGGTTGGATGCATGAGACAAGTGCTCGGGCCTGCTGCACTGGGAAGACCCAGAGGGATCTGGTAGAGAGGGAGATGGGAGGGGAGATCGGGATGGGGAATACATAAATCCATGGCTGATTCATGTCAATGTATGACAAAACCCACTACAATATTGTAAAGTAATTAGCCTCCAACTAATAAAAATTTAAAAAAAGAAAAGAAAAAAAAAGAAGCATCACTATGATCAAAGCTAGTGGAGGTGATGGAATTCCAGTTGAGTTATTTCAAATCCTGAAAGATGATGCTGTGAAAGTGCTGCACTCAATATGCCAGCAAATTTGGAAAACTCAGCAGTGGCCACAGGACTGGAAAAGGTCAGTTTTCATTCCAATCCCTAAGGAAGGCAATCCCAAAGAAAGTTCAAACTACCATACAACTGCACTCATCTCACATGCTAGCAAAGTAATGCTCAAAATTCTCCAAGCCAGCCTTCAACAGTACATAAACTGTAAACTTCCATATGTTCAAGCTGGGTTTAGAAAAGGCAGAGGAACCAGAGATCAAATTGCCAACATCTGTTGGATCATCGAAAAAGAAAGAGAGTTCCAAAAAAAATCTTCTGCGTTGTTGACTATGCCAAAGCCTTTGACTGTGTGGATCACAACAAACTGTGGAAAATTCTGAAAGAGATGAGAATACCAGACCACCTGACCTGTCCCCTGAGAAATATGTATCCAGGTCAAGAAGCGACAGTTAGAACTGGACATGGAACAACAGACTGGTTCCAAATAGGGAAGGGAGTATGTCAAGACTGTATTGTATATTGTCTCCCTGCTTATTTAACTTATACGCAGAGTACATCATGATAAACGCTGGGCTGGATGAAGCACAAGCTAGTATCAAGATAGTCGAGAGAAATATCAATAACCTCAGATACACAGATGACACCACCTTTATGGCAGAAAGCGAAGCACTAAAGAGCCTTTGAGGAGAGTGAAAAAGTTGGCTTAAAACTCAACATTCAGAAAACTAAGTTCATGGCATCTGGTCCCATCACTTCATGGCAAATAGATGGGGAAACAGTGGAAACAGTGATATAGTTTATTTTTATTTATTTATTTTTTGGCTCCAAAATCACGCAGATGGTGACTGCAGCCATGAAATTAAAAGACACTTGCTACTTGGAAAAAAAGCTTTGACCAACCTAGACAGCATATTAAAAGGCAGAGACATTACTCTGCCAACAAAGGTCCATCTAGTTAAGGCTATGGTTTTTCCAGTAGTCGTGTATGGATGTGAGAGTTGGACTATAAAGAAAGCTGAGGGTCAAAGAATTGAAGCTTTTGAACTGTGGTGTTGGAGAAGACCCTTGAGAGTCCCTTGGACTGCATGGAGATCCAACCAGTCCATCTTAAAGGAAACCAGACTTGAATATTCATTGGAAGGACTATTGTTGAAGCTGAAACTCCAATACTTTGACCACCTGATTCGAAGAACTGACTCATTTGAAAAGACCCTCGAACTGGGAAAGACTGAAGGCAGAAGGAGAGATGACAGAGGATGAGATGGTTGTTATGACATCACCGACTCAGTGCACATGAGTTAGAGTAAACTCCGGAAGTTGGTGATGGACAGGGAGGCCTGGCGAGCTGCAATCAGTGGAGTCACAACAAGTCAGACACAACTGAGAGACTGAAATGAACTGAATACTTAGAGCTCACATTCAAATTCAGGTGGGTCTGACAGCATTGTGGTTATGGCTTTTGACCACAAATGTATGCTGCCTCTAGATCAAGATATGTGGGGATGGGCTTGTGTCTTTTATGTTTCAGAATGGAGATTGCTATGAAATCATGATATTATTTTTTTATTTATCAAATATTTATTGAGTGCTTAAATGTGACTGGCACTTTTCTAGGAGTTAATTGTGCTAATTATGAATATTGACATTAAGTTTTTAAATTTATTTGCATCTTATGAAAGTCTGATTATTTTTAGCTCTTCTGTTCTTTGACAATAGGTTGATGATTATCTACAAATTTGAAAAATTTTTAGACTCAATCCCAAGAGAACTATGCTTCCATGTTTGTCTTTTCTACATGGTACCTTGGTGTTCATGATTCAATTTCTATATCCTGACTCTTGTTTCTTCATCTGTATAGTGATCTCTGAGGTTCTTCTGAGGACTAAAATTCTAAGCACACTCCTGTTTTATAGATCAGTCCCAATGATCCATGAAATCAGGACTGAAATAAATGGTTTTATATTTAGCTTTGCAAAGTATAAATGAGGTACAGTGAATGAAACCTTTAAAGCACTGTACGAATTTTATTAGTCCTCTATTGCTATGTAACACATTACAGCAGATTTTGTGGCTTAGAATAATCCATATTTGTTATCTCACAGTTTCCAAGGGTTAGGAGTCTCAGCATGGCTTAGCTGGGTCTTCAGCTTAGGATCTCACAAGGGTACAGTTAAGGTGTCAATGGGTTAATTCATGTCTGGGCCTTAGTCTTTTTCCAAGCTCTGA